CCAACATGGCGGCCTTTTGGTGCGCAACCGGATGGTACAAAAGACAACATCTCAGCGAGGAGACACCAGCCAAGCCTTTTCGAGTATGCGTTCGCCTTCGTCAGCGCTCGTTCCACCTTTAAATAGGCTTATTTACCCACAAATCCTTACGCGATAGTAAAGAGTTCGCTCTATTTTCATTTATTACTTCCTTAATTTTGAATCTAAACTTTTCAAACCTGACATATATATATATATATAGATATATATATAGATAGATAGATAGATAGATAGATATGTATATATATATATATATATATATATATATATATATATATATATATATATTAGATCGGACCCATCATTTGTACTCACCCAGTACATCTGTAAAATTGTATGTATCAAAACATTTCTTATTGATAAAGTTCGTGATATCAACACATTTTAAATGGCCTTTTCAAAGCTATATGATTGAATCACAGAGTTTATGTGCGTGTTATGAGATGATTTCTCTATATTCTAATATAGTTTAAGTAACAAATGTTTTACACACGATTTTCTTTAAGGATATAAATTATTGTTATACTCCCATGCTTTAAGTAACAAATGTTTTATTCATAATTTTTTGACAAGTTATAAATTAAGGTTCTTGACAGGAACTCCTTAACTAGTTCAGAAATAATATATTTAACTTCAAAAATTAATGAATTTAAGTATGGCATGCGATACTGTAAGTTAAAACATTCCTTTTAATTATGACATGCATATTCTCTCGAATGTTATAATAAAAGGGATATTTTTGCTTAAGGTATCCGACTACGCTCGGAACCCTGATCTAAAAAAAGCGCATAAATGGATAGTTTTCATGATATTTGGTGTCACTTATATTAGAATACATGTATAAAATTATTTTAAGGAGATTTTGACAAAAAAATTATTTAAATACAATATTTCGGCAAAAAATTAACTTAGAATAACCTTTTTTCATAATGTTCTCCTTTTGTGAAAAATGCTTCTATTATAATAGTATTTTGCCTGTATATAGCTCAAATCTCTGTACAGAGGCTGTACTATGAATTTTCAAAAAATCACATTATTTTCAGAGTTACAACCCATTGCAATAATTATCGGTGTTTTTTTCTTAAAATTTCCCCCCTCTGTTGTCGTAAAACATGGATAAACCCATTTCTAAGTTATATATTTAAAAGATTCTAGTTGAGCCTTTGTACAGAGGTCTGAACTATATAGAGGCAAAATATTATTATAATAGAAGCATTTTTCACAAAAGGAGAATATTTTGAAAATTTGTCATTCTATGTTCATTTTTTGTCAAAATATTGTACTTAAATAATTTGTTGTAATAATATTCTTAAAACAATTTTATATACATTTTTTAATCTAAGTGACATTAAATATCACAAATATTATCCATTTATACGATTTTGTAAAATCACGGTTCCGAACGTAGTCGGATACCTTAAACTATATAAAAGCCTAGAGATTTATTTAAAAACACCCGATATTTTTAATTTTGATACTTAGTTATTCAAAAAAGAATGAATTTGATTTATCCGATAAGAAATGTCTGAAAATACTTAAAAGTTATTTTCAAATTGTTTGTTATATCTATATAACTGACAGTGAAAATATAATATTCGATATTAATTTTAGTTTGCTAAAGTAGACATTGGGCATATAGCCTTAAGTATTTATACGGAGATGAGGATAAATTCATATCTAGATCCATCAATATAAATTTACATTGCTGAAATGAATACCATAAACTTATACGAGTTTTTTTGTTATATTCATTACAATAAATTATTACTACTATTTATCACAAGCACCTCTCAGTTACGTCTCAAAATTTCTAAAAGGCTTCTGGGAATTCCATTCCCCTTCCCTTTTAAATTATATCAAAACCCTCAGGCTGTTTGAAATCCTATCTTCTGGAAGGATGTTAATTCAAACCAAACTAAACCAGCTACACATGAAGAGGCAATGCGAATATTGAATCCAGTCAACCATTCCTCAGCAACTGTAAACATACCTTATTATAAATCATGCTAATTTTGAGTCTTATTTGCTTAAAGATAAAATCATGTGTATTGTAGGAGTTAAAATTTGAAGAAAAAAGTAATATATATGTGTATTATGCATGGAACACAAATAATTAATATGTTTTCCTTTCATACCTTTTTTATAAAAATATGTAAAATTCAGGTATATAAAATAGCACTTTTTATAGTGTTATTAATTATTAATGGCATAAGTAATGCGATTGATGATTTTCACTAGCAGTAGATATAAATGACTACATTTATATTATTTTATCGAAATAATATGCAAAATGTTAGATTTTTCAGCTTAAGAGTTAATTGAAAGGGTAAAAAAAAGTTATAGTTATCTATTAAAGTTAAAATATTCTTATTAAAATTCGTAACGAACACGAAAGTTTATGGCATAAAAAAGGAAACATTTCGAATTTTCATTCTAATGAAATCTTACTGCTTAGAATTTAACGTTTTTTCTACAGACAATTTACAAAGCAAGAAATATTTTAAATGTATATTATCTTTCTAAATCACTCAGGAACTTATACTTTAAAAATCATTTATTTAAACATTATCTACCCATTGATCCTGACCTACGACTTCCCTGTTTGGAGATACGAAGCAAAGGCGCATATTAATTATTTACACAGTGTTCAGAATTTAATTGGGGAGCATATTCTTAATGTTCACTAGTTCATGAGGAATGTAGAACCGCAACTCGCGAGTAAAATACCCACTATAAGACAAACGATCAAGAGAAGTGCTATCAATTTCTTTAATTAACAACGTTATTTGACAACTTTGATAATACGTTGATTTTTAACATCGAAAAATATATGTCTGATCTTAACTTATCCAGAACCAGATCAATTCTAATTAACCTTATTTTCCTTAATTTTTAAGCATTTTATTGTTTGCTTAATTATTTATTTTTAACATTAAATGTATCCGACTACGTTGGAAAACATGATTTTGCAAAAGCGTATAAATGGATAATGTTTATGATATTTAGTGTTGCTCATATTAGAAAATGTATATAAAAATGTTTTAAGAAATTTATTTAAATACAATATTTTGACAAAAAATGAACATAGAAGGACCCATTTTCAAAATATTCTCCTTTTGTGAAAAAGGCTTCTATTATAATAATATTTTGTCTGCATATAGCTCAGACCTCTGTACAGAAGCTCAACTAGAAATTTTGAAATATATAACTTAGAAATAGGTTTATCCATGTCTTACGACAACAGAGGTGAGAAATTTTAAGAAAAAAACGCTGAAAATTATTTCAATGGGTTGTAACTCTCAAAATAATGTGAATTTTTCAAAAAAACATTAGTTCATACTCTCTGAAGAAGTCTTTACTTGATATAAGCAACATATTTTTTTAGAAGCAGTCTTTATAAAAGGAGAATATTTTGGAAAAAGGTTATTCTAAGTTAATTTTTTGCCAAAATAGTGTATTTAAATATCTTTTGTCAAAATTTCCTTAGAACAATTTTATACATGTATTCTAATCTAAGTGACACTAAATATCATGAAAATGATCCATTTATGCGTTTTTCTTTTAAATCACGGTTCCGAACGTAGTTGGATACGTTAATCTTAGTCTCTCCATTTTTGCAGATCAACTTGCTCGAGCTCCTAACTACTCAAAGATTGATCTAGCTTCTCACCTAAACTTAAATGCTAAAATAGCTGACCTCTCTGGTCAGCCAATAACAGAAGCTCCACTCCGTGCAACTCATGCAAACTTTTTACGTCTAAAAACTATTCTCTTGTTAACTCACTCCTTTTCTGCTACCGGTAGGCATCAGCCTACCCACTCTTATGAAAAATATTCCGTCACGATTTTCTTCATAAACTTTTAAATTAAATTTACAATTGTATTTTTATTCATTTTAAAGTAACTCATTTTTATTATAAATATATACAACAGTATAATATTTCAAATTTTAAAAATTATTTACTAAAAAAGGGCAATTTGAAAGCATTTTAATGTCATCTAAAATGTCATGAAACAAGATGAAGGTTCGGATGAGCTAAGGACTCCTACCCCACCAAACTACTACAAATATAAACATTATTTTTATATACTTGGGAAAAAAATCATCTAGTTAACATAATAGTAAATCGGTTTATTGCAGGATTTTTTAGTTATGCGTCTGTGTATTTTTCTTTTCTTTATGGATTATGCTAAAGGAAGTTTCAAAATTTACTTCCTTACTTTTGCAAGAGAATAATGTTTGCGAAACGATTGCTTTTTATCCAATAAATGTTTTCAATACAAAAAATCTAGATTATTTTCTTTAGAATGTTATCATATTGAAATTCATTGAAGGATATTAAGCAATTATTTTCTTTTTCTGTGTATTCAAAATGTTATCAGTAAAGATAGTGCGTGAATAATACATACCATATACTTTTTTCCTCTTTGAAGATTTTACAATTTTAGGCTTTTACACAATTACTTATCACTTGATGCATATATTAATAATTGAACTAAGGCTTTTTGATTCCACTTTTAATGTAAGATTTGTTATTTCATCAAAAAAAACGAGATTTATATATTCAATTCATTTCTTGCATTAAATCCAAATATTATGCTATGCTTCATTAATTGTAAAAGTGAACGAAAACTTGAACTGATTCAGAAATCTAAATTTTCGCGTTTATAGATTTATTATAAATTTAGTAGCACGAATGAAAAATCTATACACGTTTTCAATTCCTACTATTAGTTCACTCTCTCCCTATATATATATATATTGTACAAATTTTCAATCTATAATAAAATACTTTGTATTCATCCATTCAAGTTCAAATATATTTTTTTGAACTACTAGTGGATGGCACTTGATGTTAATATATTTTTTCAAACATAAATTAATTAAATTTAAAAAATGAATAAATAGTAACAAAACTAATAGTCCATCAGCAAATAAAGAAAGAAAAATAGCTCGTTGTGTCCCTGTAGCTAGTGGATGGCGCGTTAGGCATCTAATCTAAAGGTCATGGGCTCGAATCCCACCTGGGATTGCATAATCTCTGAGAATAGGTTTTTTATATTAATTCTACTTTTTAATAGAAAATAACTAAAATAAAAGTTTTCTTTGTAGTCCTAAGTAGGTATTGAGTTAAATATTTTTTTATTATTGCTTGTTAAATAAAGACGAGTACTCTGTCGATCTTCTAATTTTCAGTTTACAAAAACATTAAATTTTTCATCAAATGGAATACATGTACTTGTATTATCAAGTGCAAAATACAAATTTGGAATATTTTAGTAGACAAAAAATAACGCGTTTCTCTCTCACAAAATATATTTTTATTTAAAATATTCAAAAATCCAATTGAATCTGAATCTTGCGTTCTAAGTGTAGTTATTCTATTCAAAACAATCGTGGCGTTGACATTCATTGGCGGGCTTTAACACTATTTTTTGTGGATTAAGAATGAATTCAATAAAACAGGTTATTGGAAAAAGTTCAAAATTTTCTTTATAATAATTTGTGATTAGAAAAATGAACACAGAATAATGGATATAATAATAGTAAATATATTTCATAATTTGTATTTCATATATTATTTAAAAACAGCAACTCATCAATTATTCCACACTTTTCTTAGGAATTTTTGCATATTATACGAAAATTTTTAACTACATAATCTAAAGAAGATCAATGTTCGCATAATAAAATGAAGAACAGTTTAAAAAAGAAATGGAAACCTATTATTCTAAATTTCACTTTTACTTATATATGTAGCCTACTAAAAATTGTAAGCTTAATTTAAAAATCATGTTTCTTTTATAATTGAATACCTTATCGCCCAAAATTGCTTTTAAATGCATACAACTAATGATATTTCATAAAATTTCCAAACGAGGTAACTCAATTTTGCTTAAGAAAGGCATGCTTAATTAGTGTTATTTAATCAAAAGTGATCACACGGATTGTAATATCGAAATCAAGACTTTAGGAATCAAGTGTTTTGTGTAAAGTGAACGCATTTCTAACTACTGCTTTCAGGTGTGATTGAACAAATTATTAAGAGATTTTGGTATTATACAGAGAAATATCTGAAATGGTGAATTATCGTCTATTTAGGAGTAGGGCACTAACCATATGTTATATATGTAAATAATTCAAGAGATGATCACTTCTTACACTAAGGAAGTTTTTCAGAATTTCTCCTGGAACTGTTGTAAGGAGGTCTGCAAAATATTTTAACGATTGAACTGCTGTCAACGTACATATCCGTCTCGCTCAATCTCTGTGTTAAATGACTCAAAAGTGCATACATACGAGGTATATCCAGAAACTAAGTTCCGTTTGGTAATAAAAATAAATTGTATACAGATACAGAAAAAAAACATTTATTGGACAAAAATGTTAAACTCTTAAACTACCTTTCCACATACCTGCCGAAATTTTGCAGGCATGTGTCATATCGTGGCACAAGTTTTTCTATGCCTTCTTCCTAGAAGGTTGCCGCCTGTGTCTTCAACCAGTTGGAAACATTTTCTTTCAGCTCTTTGTCATTGCTGAAGCGTTTACCGGCAAGGAAACACTTGAGATGTAAGAAGAGATGAAAATCGCTAGGAGTGAGATCAGGGCTGTGCGGAGGTTGATCAAACACGTCCCTGCCAAATCCTCGTAGGAGGGTTTTCGTCCCATTTGCGATGTGTGGTCGTACATTGTCGTGAAGAAAAACAACACCTTTTGACAAAAATCCTCGGCGCTTATTCTGTATTGCGGGGCGCAATTTCCTAAGTGTCTCGCAGTAAACAGCTGCATTGATTGTTTGACCTCGCTTTAAAAAAATAATCCGTAAGATGCCTTTGCTGTCCCAAAACACTGTGCACATGATTTTTGAAGGTGTCAAGATGTGTTTCGGCTTAACCCTTGTTGGGGATGAAGTGTGCCTCCATTCCATTGATTGCCGCTTACTTTCAGGGGTGTCCTAAGAAACCCAAGTTTCATTTCCTGTGACAATCTGTGACAGAAAATCTACGCCGCCTTCATGATAACGGGTCAAAAACTCAAGTGCACAACCTATCCGTTTTATTTTGTGAGACTCAGTAAGAATTTTTGGCACGCGCCCACTTCGTTCTTCATCGAGCACTTCACTACGTCCTTCATTGAACTGTCGGACCCATCTTCTCACCATTGAATTACTCATCGCATTTTGTCCGTATACTTCACAAATTTGCCGATAAATTTCGATTGGTTTCTCTTTCTTAGCATTCAGAAAACGAATTACACATCTGATTTTGCACGCAGCGGGATTTTCAATCAACACCGCATTGTAAACAAGCACAACAAAGCGTGCGTGGCTGACAGTGATCTAAAAATGACGCATGCTATTTCTCCTTGATACGGAGTGTTTCCCGGGCATGCGCGGAACTGCGATCGCTGCGCTGGAGCGGATATAAATAGAAACGGGACTTAGTTTCTGGATATGCCTCATACATCTTTCCGAAATGCATTCCTTTCTTTGCGCTGTTATCAGTAAAACTGTTCTGAAGGGATTGAAGTGCAATGAAATGAGCTTTGACAGTGTTTGCGAAGGAATTTCTAATATCATATAAAATTATGCTTATTTAAGCCCCCCTTCAATGAACCGCATACATACGCATATATGAGAGATTGTAGCACTTGGAAGTGAATTAAGGGGAGTTGGAAACGTTTCTCTCTATACTGACAATGTTAAATTGGCTGTTTTCGATGTACCTTTTCTCAAAATCTATTTTATGTACATGCTTGAAATTTTTCATACTATTAAAGTACACCTCTCTCATTATACTAAAATGAGCTTTTAGCTAATTTTGAATTTTTTAATAAATTATGAAATATTTTATCAAACATTGCGAAATTTGACCCATTTTTTACTTATAAAATTTGTAAAAATTAAATTTTTGAGTTTTTTTTTACAAAAAGCTCATTTTAGTATATATTAGACATCATTATAAATAATTCATAAAAAATTTACATACCTGTGAACAGTAGTTTCTCAGAAAAGGTACATAGCACATTAAAATTTACATTTTGAGATAAATTGATTTTAATGTATACAGTGAGACTTCTAATCGGCTAGGAAATTAAAAAAATAAAAGGCTCAATTTAAAATAAAAGATACATGTTTTGGTTTATATCAGTCGTTACACTTTTAAGCAAAAACAAAGTAATTTGTTTACAATTTTCGCCATTAAAATGGGTGGGGCCCACATTCAACGATTATATAAAAATACGTTTTAAGGGCTTCTAAATACACTAGAGGTTAAAGTAAGGTATTTTTAGAAAGGTTAAAATCTATTCAATTTGAAAATGTAAAAATCTCAAATTGTCAAAAAAATAAGATTTTAGCTTTCCAACACCCCTTAAGTTTATTTTAATCGGCAGTTGAGGGGTTAAATGCAGGAATAATTGCTTCTAAGGATGGATATATAACAATAACCACTCGCGTTACAAGAAAACTACCGCTTGGTGATTAAGTTTAAAACTTGTAACCGACGCTTGAGATGTTGTATCACGGAAAGAGGGCTTGATGAAAATAGCTTTGTGACTGGAAATTAAAGGTATGCGTTTCATGTTTTCACTGCAAATGATGGATTGCTTAATTGTTATATAGCCTAATCGAACTACTCAGAGAATTAATTGTCCATTGATAAGTTTAGGTATTCAAACTTACAGTTTAATAGGGGGTTTTAAAGGGTTTTGCATGTGAAGGGAATCAAGAAGGTGAAAAATATCCTTCAAGCATTATGAAATGGGAAAATTTCTATAGTGTAGGTGTGATAATATGGGAAGAAATAATGATAGAAGGATGTATGTACTATACGCTTCTAATAAAGCATTTTTGATTGACCGGAAGTATTACCGGAAGATCTTAAAACTTTATGTAAGAGTACCTTAAGTAATCCATATGAATATTTTTGGATGTGCATATGGATCTGATTTTTATATGGACATGCTTATCTAAATGAGGCAAAACTCATCAACTGATTTCTTAAAAACGAAGCCTTTGAATAAATTCCTTGGACAACAAAATCTTATTAGTTAAACCCGAAATAGAATTTATGGCACTACCTTGGGAAATAAGTTACATGGAGAAATCCTCTCTAGAGATTTTAGATATATAAACTCAGCAAGACCAAAGAAGGAGTGTAATTTAATTCTTCAAACAGCAGTTAGCAGCAGTATTGTTTTTTAAAGTACGTAGTAATATGTGTGTACTTTTCTGAGAAATCCTAATTCAATTTTAATTGAGAAGTTTCAATTTTTTCTAAGTTATTTTTTCTCTGAACTTTCCTTGTAACATATTATTGTCATTTTAATTATTTTACCCTACAGTTTTATATCATATATATGCATTGTTCTTAAACATTTTCTTTATATGTTTATGCTGTTGAGTTATATTTTATACATGTTTATAAAATTATTGTTTATTTTTCGAAAAAATCCGTATTTCACTCATGTAAAACAAATGTTGGACGTGAGTGTATTTCTGGATTTAATGAAATAGTTTAATAGCTTCATATTTAGTTGCAGAAGTTAACGGATGATATCTAATATATATTATAAATGTGAAAGTTTTTGAGGAGGTTTGTGGGTCTTTCACGCAAAAACAACTGAATGGATTTTAATGAAATTTTACAGTAATATAGGCTATAAATTATAAAAATTTGTAAAAAGTGTCCAAAATATAACGATATTTGTCAAGAAAGTCAGAAAAAAATTCTGGCATCTGCAAGCAAATCTGGCTTGCGCTGTAAAAAGGCCCACCACAGCATATACAAAGTGTTTTTTTTCCAGGTATAGAAGTTTAAGTTGGCATTATTTTCCAAGATGGCGACCGATTTTACAGCTGTCAAGGGATTTATTCTCAGTTTGGTTTGGCAATTCATCATGAATAGACTCACGCCTGAACAATACATTCAAATTGTGCAATTTTATTTCGAAAATAATGGTCGATTTTCATAAGCAAATTTTGTTTAGCGATGAAGCGCACTTCTGGTTGAATGGCTACGTCAACAA